TGACAGGGAAGTGGAAGCTACATACGTTGGACGATTATTTACAACAGTCCATAAAATGTTTCTGGTTACTTGACTTGGAATTAACAATTGAATACCTCGGTATAAGAAGGGGACAACTCCTTCTCTTGATAAATGGAGCTACTCCCTTCTTGCACCGAGGTCTTCAAATGAAGTTCAAGTAAAGTTTATTATTAAGGACTGTTCAGTTTAAAAATTTAATAAATATTTTTATATATATTTTACAAATATTTATAAGCAAAGGTTAACGTGATCAATTGGAATTCCTTTAAATATTTTCTTCTTAGTTTATGTTAATTATAATTAGTTTATGGCTAAAAATTATTAAGTTCTTTTAAAATATCATATAATTAATAATTATTTATCAATAGTTATTAATGTTTTGTTTTGGTTATTACTTTCTGCCTTTCCAGTTTATAATAATGTAAATTCTTACTTATGCAAGAATTATATATATATGTAAGAATTTCGAATTTCCCGCTAAGTTGGTACATCTAACATGGCGACCTTTCTGGCTTCATTTTAGGCGTGGTGGGGACAACAGCATACGCACTCTAGATTATATATAAGACCTCAATGACGCTAGTACAAGCGCAGAAAATTTGTCATTATCACGGGAAGCTGCACCAAGTGAAAATGTGCAATTTCCTCAATATACACTAGATTGTGGAAAGGAATCTACCTAAAATCGGTAAATTAAGACATTTTAAAACTTTGGTAATCGTCTCATTGAGGGTACTTTTTAAAATGGTTTTTTTCTTAACTTCAATTGTAATACTAATAAAATAACTGATAATAAGAAGGAATAATAAGAAAAGGTTAAAGAAAAGAACTGTTATAACGTTTATATTCCGTTTTATTTGTTAATTGTGAAAATCTGTAAAACTAAGTTAATACAAGATAAATATTGTTTGAAAATAAATGAAAACTAATATGGAAAAAGAAAGTGATGTAAATCCTTTTTTGCCATGTATAACCTATAGAAAATAAATACAATAATATATCTATACAGGATATATCAATAGTAGTATGCCAAACGATATCTTCTTGTATAAAAACTAATTGTAAAACAATATGAAAGAATACATTTTCTCCAATCAACATTTGTTTTCATTATATTAGCTTCTAAACATGTATATATAAAATAAGAAATACCTGCATTATATTCTAGTGCTGCAATATATGCTCGAGTTTGAAAGGAACCTCGTTGGGTCAAGTTTAGCCTTTTCCCACAGTTTAACTTCATTAATAATGACATATACAGAGTGCCCATTATGTATGGAATATAGCATATATCTTGATAAGTATCAACTTTATAAAAAAACATTTTATACAAAAGTTGTTTAATATTTTATTTGCCATAATAAGACTGCATTCAATTGTTTTTAATTCAGAAAACAAATGAGTAACGAATAATACTTACATTTTTTTAAATGGCAATGTATTCTTTCGGCTCATTTGATAGAGATTACTTTTCTCTTTATGATGGCGTAAAATTTTTGTATACTTACATTAGAAAATTTTTGAAAAAAATGTAAAAATTGTTTATTAATAAAAATAAATCAATAACATTAATCTAGATACCCGAGATCTCAAATTATTACCGTAAATTAAATTTACGTACAAAATAAAATAAATAAACGAAAAATTAGTGTACATCTCCAATAATTCGAGGTACTTGACGATCTCGGATATCTAGATTACTGTTATTAGTTAAATTTTCTTAATAAACAATTTTTACTTATTTTTCAAAAATTTTACGTCATCGTAAAAGAAAACAAATCACTACCAAATGAGCCTAACGAAAGGATACATTGCCATTTAAAAAACTTCAAGTGTTATTCGTTGCTGAAACTTCAAAAAGGAAAGACTTCTAATTATGACGGCACAAAATTTTCTCAAACAAAAACCTTGAAAAATTGTATGAATCACCAAATAAGATTGCTTCTCTAAAATTAAAAGATATTCGCGATCTATTGCCGTTTGTGCCATTACCGTGGAGCAGATTTTTTGTTCAACTCTTGGACCGCCAAACTCAAGAGACGCAAAATCAAGGGGAAGTCGCAACAGACAGCAACGACGAAGACATTTTGGACTATGAATAATAAATAAATTTCTTTGTTATATTGAATCAAATAAAAATAAAGTAATCTTTTTTTAATTAAATAAAATAATCTGTCTTTGGTGAAAACTAATAGGTAATGATAGAAAATATTAAAGTATTAAAAACTATTAAATAACGTTAGGCAGTTTATTAAAAAACTGAAAATGTCGGATTTGAGTTTTTACCTCATAACTAAAAAAAAGTATTATCAAGAAAGATTTATTTTATTGAGTTCGCCCTTATGCAAAATATTAAAAACAGGGAAAATATTAAAAAAAAAAATGCAAATATTAAAAACATTAAAAACAAATATTAAAACATTCTCAAAATCATACTTTGTTGAATTCGCCCTTTCTCAACGCCTCATATGTTCTTGATAATTTTTCTCGATTATCGTACTCGTCGGGTAAAAACAAGTAGATACGTAAAATTTCGTGTTTTTAACCCTAACGGTTTTTGAAATAATAAGCAATAATCACAAGTTGAATGTCATCTTCAAAGTATATTAGCTCCTTTGAAATATTTTAGGACAGACCTTTACATGAATTTTTCTTAATATTTTATCAAGCCCCTTTAAATATACTTGTAAACGCAATTTCCTGTATATAAAAAATATTTTCGATACTTCGATACTTTCGATACTTCGATAGCGACACTTTGCGGGTTTCGATACCGAGGTAGGTATCGATACTTTGCCCAGCACTGCTTAAAACGTAGATATTTTTAGATGTGATATTTTCTGCTACATTACTAAAAATTATACAGACATTTATTGCTGTTAAATTGTTGGGCAAATTTGTCTGTTTTACACGATTACAGTTACTTATACATAATCATATCCATGTAATAATCTTCGTTGTTGGTGAGTTTTGGTTAATGGTTACATTTAAAAGAACTTTCGATTAATTAACGTAAATGTTTATTGTAACGATATGACGACGTTGCAGTGTCATATCGTAGTCTCCTATTACAATTAATTACTCTATTTTTATAGTAAACTTATTGTTAACGTAGCACAACAAACCTTGTCATGTTTGTTGTACTAAACTTATTAAATAGCCTTATTACTCCTAACCTACTTAATATTAATAACATTTATTTAACTTAACACTTAGTCATACCTTACATCCCAAATAGCCTTATGCTTATTGTCAGCCTTGAATATGTACCAACTATTACATTCCTTTTCGCTGTTGGCAATAAGCTTTCAATAGAATTTTCGATAGCTATTATCTCATCGGAAAACCATTTCGCTTTTACCGAAATTATATTATTACTTAAAAACCTGGTCTTCGTAGGAAAATTGTAGCAAAAAGTCGTATTTTCTATTAATTCGATAAATCGTGAAAACATTTGATGCAAATACAGATCCCCACAGCCGTCAACGAAAGAGAAATCAATACGTTATTCGTTCCACGTTCGATATGATGTTATTTGTAGTTAAATTAGTAAATATATCGTCCAGACAGGCGTTCTTTCGTCTCAATTTATAGTTCTTTCAATATATGGCGGTAACAGTGTTCGTCTCATCCTTCTTTTTTCGATAAAGTGTGTGCGTCTCAAATATAAGAAGGTAAGACGGTTTTCAAAACATTTAGACAGACGGAGTCCATGTTTGCCATAAACCTACATGGCCAATACGGTACGGATCTAAAAATAACGTTACAAACTTGACAGCGCTTTCAGTTTTTTTAGTGCTTTTCTGTTAACAGTTTTATCCTGCAACAGATCTGTAGAACCACGCAAAATAATTAGAAAATTAATTTTATAGAAGTCGCGACGACTATCGCTAATAACATCTTGTAATCTAGCAATCACCATTTCGCACTTTAGATGTAGTTTGTTGTAGGTTTTTCGAGATGATGCCTTATTCCGGCACAGTTTTAGTAGGTATGTTGTTGTATAAGAAGAAATGACGACAGCACAGGCGTTAACCGCACGTGCGACGATAGCGACGCAGGCGGTGTGTTACTTTGAGTTATGATAGGTTACTTTATTGGACCATTGTCTAAGATGTTTTACATCCATTTTTGTATTACGCAGTATTTAATTTACTTTTTATTTTATTCATGCGATTTGTTAATTTAAAAACTATGCTTTTTCTGTTTCTTACGGTAGTTGGCACGATTTAATTGTATTTCCGAAAGTTTTTAGATTGTAACGTGGTTCTAAGTTTTCGTTGTAGTTGTTGATGTTTATTACCGGAATCATCCTCGTCGAGAGATTTTTTTTAACTTGGCTCTCAGTTCAACGTAGTGATGGGCATAATCGAATGACCATAATCGATTAACCGATTATACACGATCATTCGAGATATCGATTATTCTAAAAAATAATTGATTATAATAAAATAATCGAATAAAATAATCGATTATTTTTCCATTCGATTATATTTCTATTCGATTATTTTTTCATTCGATGTTGAAAGTTAAAATAAAATTCTATATAAAATATTGACTGACATACTACTTCAAGAGTGTTTTGGGAATTTACCGACTTCTCTGAATGTCTCATTTTAATATTTAAATTAAATAGAGCCTCAAATGATTAGTAGAATCCACGTTTTATGTTTGTATTCATTACTAGTTGTTTAATATGGAGTAAAAAAAGAAAGATTATTTGATTCCCCATGATAATATGGAGGATGGTCAGTCAAAATACATATTTCAAAGAAAATATTTATTGCACTACATATTACTATTTAAAAACATGATTTCGTTGATCATATTGCTGCTTAACCTACTCCTTCTGTCCTTTGTTAACTCGCCTGCTTTTGAGAATACCCTCTCAGATGGCACTGATGTTGCTGGCACGCAGAGGTACTTATTTGCAAGTTTATATAATTCCAGGAACATCTCCTTCTTGGACTCCCAAAACTCTAAAGGATTCAGCTTCCTATCTACCAATGGTAGGTTTAGGTACTGCTTTATTTGTGCTTCGGCAGAATGTGTAGGTGTGGACGCGCTGAATTCCTGCTTAGCCTTTATATCAAAATGCTCCCAAAGTAAACTAGCTTGGTTCTCGCTGGAATCTAAAATTTATATTCAAATATGCTCTATTATCGAACTATTGCAATAACAAACAAAAAAAAAACTTTTAACGAAAATGAGTTAACAGTAATAATTTACCTGCACGCCCCTGAGTACAAGGTATTTCAGAATTTGGAGTTTCTAGATGCTGAGTGATAGTTACAATCAAATCCTCTACTTCTTGTGTAATCAATTTAAGGGCTTGATTACCATTTATTACCTTATCGAAGGCCAATATCTTTAATCTGGGATCCAGTAATGTCGCCTTTGCACAAATTTTTGAAGATTCAACATAACCCAATCTCCTCAATAGGATATCATGAAAATTAGTTTGCAATATCTTTCCCGTGGAAGTTATTGGTTGTGCATTCTTAACAGCGTGTTGGACACCACGAATTAAGGGGATGATAATGGACAACGTTATATATTTTTCTCCCAACAACTCGGAAGTCATAGCTTCAATAGGTTTTAAAATACATATGCAGTCTTTAATTAGTGCCCAGTCTTCCGATGACAAAAGTGAAGGTGATCCGGGAAGATTGGACATTACTGCTGACAACGGAACTTTTAATTCTGATGATGTCCATATATCTGTTGTTATAGACAAATTTGACGACAAATTCAACTCATTTTTTACCTTACTCAACGTCGCTGTATATATATTTGGTATCAGGGAAGTTGTAATTTTTTATCGACTTGGTAAGTCGTAATGCGGATTAAGTTTATTTGTATATTTCATGAACCCCTTATTTTCAACAATGGATAAGGGCTGAAAATCAGAAACTATCATTTCAACTAAACTTTAATCTATTTCGGTTTGCTCATTTTCTGAAATATTATATGTTTGTGTTTTTCCGTAAAGAGCAAGTTGACGTTTACGTTTGGAAGGCGGTGGGTGTATTATAGAATGTTGTGAGGAAGTTTCAATTGTAGAAGTTGACGGAAGTGTACCTCGAATTTCTTCGCATGATGTATCTTCAGAAGGTTTAGATTTTTGTAATAATAAGGCTGGGTGCTTTCGTTTTAGGTGTTTACTTAAATTTGTAGTATTGCCAAAGAATTTAAACTCTCGCTTACATTCACTACACATTGAGGCATCTCCTCTTCGTACAAAATGATCCCAGACGAAGGATCTCTTTGCAGTTTGTCGCGGCATATCATTAAATCTTAATAAACACAGAACAATACACAAACACTTGACCTGGTTGCAAAACAACACAACAATACTGCCGAGTAGTTTGTGCTCGAGTGAACGACGAACCCGACGAACGTAGTTCGGGTAGGGGTGTGCACGTGTATATACATCGAGTTTCAAAGAATTCGGTAAATCCCCGAAACAGCCCTCTGAAGTAGTAATACCGTAAATATTTTAGATAGAATTTTATTTCAACTTTCATCATCGAATGAAAAAATAATCGAATGGAAAAACAATCGACTATTTCATTCGATTATTTTATAATTGATTATTTTATTCGACTATAAAATAATCGATTAATAATCAAATAATCGATTAATAATCGATTATTCATATATCTCGATTATGCCCATCACTAGTTCAACGAGTTTTCATTTCTTATTTTAGTCATCACGTTCATTATGTCATAATCTATGGTGATTTCCAAGTACACATTCAATGGATCTTTTCTTGAACGATGAAGAGCGTAAGCTCATGAGAGGAAGCGAAATAAAAGCACATTATGTAGACACGATTATATCCGTTTTATATAGGTATTTTTGTTATCTCTCTTTATAAGATCTACACATCTATTTTTTGTAGATCTAACTAAAGGGAAAAAATCAATCAATTAATACATAAACAAATGGTTATTTTTGGAAATTATTTACTTCATTTTATAGCTTAGCCACAAAAGTAAACTGAATCAAATTACAAATTATAAAAACTTCAGTATTTGGAAATCTTGTGTGCTGTAGTGACTTCCATCATTGTTCTAAACTCTTAGCCCTGGATACTTCGTTTCGATTTTCGGAAACACTTTACCAATCTTCCATTCATTCTGGTGGAAAATCTTTCCGATGTAAAGCGTGCGTCCGATTTCGAATCCACCGGGAACGCAATTATGCAAGTAGCCCTCATCTAATGAGCTTGTGTTTACGGATACCCACTCGAAATTTTTAGGTTTAGACGAACATAAATACTAAAAAGAAAAGTTGAGCCGTAATAATAAATTAAAAATTAATTTTGGAAAACGGATTCTTACTTTTATATTAGTTTTAAATATAACCCTTCCTGTTTCATCTTCGGAGAAGGCAACTTGTTCACTTGGGTATAGTGTTCCTGGAACATTTCCACCATTTTTTAATATTACTTGAACGATGTATGTATCATGTTGTGTAGGAACTGCGTCTGCACTGATACTTCCCTTGTAATCTCTCCAATAAATGTCTAAAAGACAATTAAAATATATAAGGTATCGATAGTTAATTTATTACAGTTTTGAACGGATAAAATCCGAACTTACCACCCATATCTGCGGTACCACGTATACAAGAGCAAAATGGAGTTTGGAAACAAACTGTGTATAAACTGTGCGGTATATGCAGCTTATATATGCTCGGCGATAAAGTGTACTGATATCATTTTTTATCAAAACTATTTTATTTATTACTTCATCAATTTAAACATTAATTAAACATCAATTTATAAATTGATGTTATTTATTAAATAAATAATCATACAATCATACAATTGGCGAGTTTCTTTCGTTATGTTGCAAAACATGTGTAATAAATTCAACCAAAATATACAGGTGTCCCGTTAAGGGTACGGAGCGGCTGTATCTCGACAACGGTCAGGCCTAGAGGTTTGGGAAAAAATCCCAAGAAAAAGCATTTTAAAGAAAGAATTTGAAAAAGCATTTTATGCTCTTTTAAAAGATATTTTCAGTAAGACCGGTACTATTTACTTTATAGACCCTTAATCACCATACAAGTTGCTAAATAATAGTGAAAACCGCATCTCGATATCTCCATCCGTTCTCGAATTATAGAAGAAAATGTAAAAATTCGTATATCTTAATCGGATCAAGTTACCTTAGCAAACAAATAAGAGAGCACAAAAATGTTATTACCTAGAACCTTCCTTCACACTTTATCCAAGCTTAGAACTGGTGCAAAACTACTTTTAAGGCGTGTTTAAAAGCCAACGGATCAATGAAACATCAACAATGACAATAAAATAACATAAACCACAACACATAGAATAACTTAAATTTTTGGCAAAAATAGCTCACAAGTGTTCGAAATGTCATAAACATCGATGCGTTTATTTAATCTAGTTTCGACTGCCCTATAGATAAAGGGGTGAAAGCAATATGGGTTTTACTCGAACCAAGAATGCATATTATGCAAGTTTACACCAGCTTGTTGAAAGATGCTTCATGCATCCATTGAATTTGTGATAAAAGGTTTGGATTTACCCGAATCATAAGTCAATGATAATAGTTCAGTCTGTTATCATAATCGGTATCTGTTAAGGCCTGATGTAAAACAATGTGGTGGAGATACATATTATTTCCTTGAGGAATCTTGTGAACAATTGTTTTCGGAGTTCCCAGATTATGTGGGATCATATTGCGCACCAATGTGATTTACGAATTCATATAGAGATGTCTGAATGGGCTACACGTTGCCAGTTTCCCGTAATCGCAGAGAAAATCATAAAAACACTGCTAGAGAAAAATATCTTTCTTTGTCGTAATTGTATTGCACATTTTTGCCATACAGTTACATCATATTCGAAACATTGAAAATAAACCATCATACGCTCTATCATACGCTTCTCCGTGTTAGTAAATGACATGTTTACAGTTACCATGGTTATGTGATTTGTTTTTCTCGATCCGATTGATGGAACTCGAGTTTTTAACATTTTCTTTTATAATTCGAGAACGGATGGCGATATCGAGATGCGTTTTTCACTAATATTTAGCAAATTTTAAGGCCACTAAGGGCCTGTGAAGTAAATAGTACCGTTCCATTTAACTTTCTTTCAAAAATCACAAAAATATGTAATCGCTGCAGATAACGCCCTCTAGCTTATTTGTTTTGAACCATACGGTCTTACTGAAAATATCTTTTGAAAGAGCATAAAATGCGGGAATTTTATGTTTCTTTATGGCAGTACGCCGCCTAGCGGTCGAATTACGATCTTCAAACTAATTTCCAGCTATTTCTCTTTTTGCCCATTTTGTCTATAAAAAGGTGCATCTCCACTATGCCGATTGGCAATACCGATCGGCAAAGCCAATTGGCTTTGCTGAAATTTTAGTTAAGGTCCTCACAACACAGAAAGTGAGTACGTGCCGGACTATTTACACCCGATTCTATTTGCGTTTATTTATCCCTGAAAATGAGTGATGAGGAAGACCTACTTTTATTAGCAGCTGCTGCTGCAATTATTGTTAGTAAATGTGTTGTTAAAAAACGCACGAAATTGAAGTAAAGATTTTGGATTCGACCAAGCCTTCGAAACAGAAATAAATATCGGGGAAGTGATTTAATAAAAGAATTAATATTGGACGACGCTGATAATATAACCTTAGAATATAGAAGTGATGTTGGATTCAGAAACTTTTTCCGAATGACGAGTTCGGATTTTGAAGATTTACTAAATATGATAGGACCCAAAATTACCAAGAACGATACAAAATTTAGACAAAGCCATACCAGCTAGCGAACGTCTAGCAGTAACATTGCGATTTCTTGCTACAGGAGATTCTTACCACTCTCTTATGTATACTTTTAAAATTTCAAAGCAAGTTATTTCAAGAACTGTACCGGACGTTTGTGAAGCATTAATACACTCACTTCGAGATTATTCATAAATAAAAAAATAAAAAACTCTATAATTGGCACAAAATTGAATCAATATCTTCTGTTACTGACGTTGTGGAAGACATTGTGTCCGAAATCAAATGCACTTCTGAAGGAGTAGTAGATGTGGTTGGAGGTCTTAAATTTGTTGAGTAGTTTGCATGAACCATTGGTTGGGGTTGTGGGTAATGATATTGTTGGGAGCCAAAAAAAGGTTTGTCGTATTTTCCCATTTCCGTCTCAAAGAGAGTGTTAGTTATTATGTGTTGTACCATAAATCGAGCATGAGGGCATAGTAATTTCCTGACTTTGATGGCAACCTGCTCGCCAAATATTGCGAACTCATCTTTTTCCTGCTTCTTTGTGTTTAATGACCTTAAAATGTTCATGGCTTCGTGTAGTACAGGCGTAGTAGATGAAGATTCTCGTTTTCTTTTAAAAGATCTACTTGAAGATGATGTACAAGATGCAGGTGTAGGTGGATTCTCTTCTGTTGATGCATGTATTGAATTTTCTTCTATTGTCTCATCTTATTGTTGAAGTGTTTCCTTAATCTGAAAGAAATTTTTTGTTACAGATGCCAAAAAATGAAAGAGATTGGGAGATTATAGCCCGAGAGTTCCAGGATAAATGGAACTTTCCACATTGTGTTGGTGCAATGGGAAGCACATAACTCTACAAGCTCCTCCGACTTTTTTTTAACTACAAGTCATTCTTCAGCATTGTACTATTTGCAGTGGTTGATGCAAATTACAACTTTATATATGCAAACGTTGGTTCTCAAGGAAGAATATCAGATGGTGGCGTATTTAATGCAACACATTTCAAGAAATGTCTTGAAGAGAGCACATTGAATCTGCCTTCAGCCCTAGTTTTACCGGGACAGCACGTGGAAGTTCCATTTGCCTTTGTTGGGGATGACGCTTTTCCACTATCATGTAATATTATGAAACCTTTTCCGGGATTACAAGATAACGGATCTAAAACAAGGATTTTTAACTATCGATTAAGCAGGGCAAGAAGGGTTTCGGAAAATGCGTTTGGAATATTGAGTTCAGTTTTTCGAATACTAAGAAAACCTACATTATTACAACCGAAAACAGCAATGAAAATAACAGTGACTTTAATACATTTACATAATTACTTAAGGAAAAATAGATCAAAAAATCTTTACAGCCCCAAAGAATGCTTTGATTTAGAATCTACGGATACTGGAGATATTACTCCAGGACTATGGAGACAAGGTGTTGCGTATTTCCAAATGATGAGTATTCCAAAAATACCTCGAAGGAGCACAAATGCAGCACAAGCTGTGAGAAACGAGTTTAAGGAATATTTTAATTCACCGGTAGGAGATTTACCATTTCAGCGCAAGCACAACTAATAAATTATTTTGTACTCTATACACTTAGTAAATATATATTTTAAAAAAATTTCATCACTCAGGTTAATTTATCATGTTTACATATTTACATATGTACACACTCAAGTAAAAGCGTACATAAACACAGACATACTAATAAAAATATCTGAAATGTTTGCACGATTACTACACTATCAGTTTACACACCTACTTCCTATTGCTGAGATAGCAAACATGTTTTCTACAAAAATAATTTATATTTAGGTAATACTTTCCTTTAAAATGTATTTAAATGCAAATTAGTTCAATTATGTGTACATTATGGGTGGAATATCGATTTTTTTATAGCAAACATCTTGTAGTTTAGGGTCTGGACAATACCTCTATGAAGTATTAATTTAAAATTATTTAAATTGTAGAAGTTATAAATAACCTATAAACCTTTAACAAATACGGTGTAGGTTGTTATAGTCTTCCACATCGAGATCGGTTTTTATAACTTCGTCCCTTTTCTACTATACCAGTAAAACGGACAAAAACTGGATTCTTCACTCAGGGCTGCATTAAGGAACGCACGTTACTTGCAAATTGTAGAGAAGTAATAGGTTGGAAGTAATTTTAATTTAAACAAATTTAAATTCGACCCTGTCCTTACCTGACCGGCTTTTATTTATGACTGTCATAAAAACCGTTGTTGTTTGAAATTGTGGTACACTGTCGCAACTGTCACAATTCAAAGTTCGGTTTGATTACTAAAGGCTGCTCTGAGAACAAGATTGAACTTGTCTGTATTATTTCGACGTGTTTGCGAAGACAAGAATAGATAGAAAACATTAAAAGGGAAGTTCTAAACATGCGGATAGACAAAAGAAAGAAAATTTGTCGGGAATAGATATACCCAGTAACCGAAACTAGGTCCATGTAGGCAACCCCCCGACATACCCAAAAATAAAAAATCTTTATGCTAAAGTATTGTACTAGTTTTGTACCCTAATGTATCTCCAACGAAAAGTTTTGTACCCCTACGGTTTTTAAACTATAACGTTTTTTGCGATGGGGGGCTGCCTACATGTCAGCCCCCGACATTTTTTGATAAAAACGAACCCTATAGTACACTAAAATATTGTACTAGTTTTGTACCTTAATGTATCTGTGAAAAAAAGTTTTGTACCTCAACGGTTTCCGAGAAACAACCCCTTTTATAAGGCGGGGCTGGCAGATAGTTACATTCTGGCGGTTTAACATACAAACTTGCCATTTTCTGTGCGTTATAGTACTTTACTAGTTTTGTACCTTAATGTACTGGTGAAAAAAAGTTTTGTACCCCT